GAAATAGAATTGGAAGGGCAGGGTGGTCAGCCATTAGGCAAGGCTAGGTCTACTCAGGGTTAGCAGCTAGAAGCTGAAGTCAGAGAAAAGGAATAGGGAGGTTATATTCCAAGGTCTATACCAAGAGTCTCTCTGCTCACTTTACATCTCTCCTCTGAGTGTGTACATTTGTTTCTATTCATGTGTATATACGTGACATTTTCCAGCATGATTCCTGTCCAAACAATCTCTGTCCTATTTTGAGTACTTGGGTCAGAACCTATATCTAAATTTTTCTTGTAGAAAATATCATCACTGCATAAACAGTGAACAATATTAGGTGCTCCTTATATTGTTCATCCTCTTACACACGATGAGCACTTGGCTTCTTCAGAAAAGTGTTCTAATCTTAACTTCTCAGGCAGAAAAAAAAAAAAGGAGTGGGTTCTCTTTAAAAGCTATTTGAGAACTGTTAATTTTACTGTGGTGCCCCCTAGCGCTACATGAGATGAGACACATTTTCTGTATTTGCGAGCATGTAGGCCATGTAAGAGAAGTGAAATCTGGAGAAGCAACAACTTGGGTAATTTTTCCTGTATTTTCTTTTGTACAGAATGGAATGAAGATTGTTACCTTAGCACACGTCACAACACCCTTTGTGTCCTGTCCCCACCTAGATTTTCATCTTCGTCCACTTTCTCCAATGAACACTCACCTCCAACCATTCTGAACAACTTGCCTTTTTACCTAGAAAGCCTTCTGCCCCTACCCAGTCACCATCATTCCTCTTGTCTATTTAAAGAATTTCTACTATTTTTTTTAAGATTTTTTGATATGGATCATTTTTTGTCTCTACTGAATTTATTACAAGATTGCATTTGCTTTATGTTTTGGTTTTTTGGCCCCAAGGTATGTGGGATCCTAGCTCCCCGACCAGGGATCAAATCTGCACCCCCTACATTGGGAGGCAAAGTCTTAACCACAAGACCACCAGGGAGGTCCCTCTACTCCTAATATCAGCTGAAGCATCACCTCCTTCTCCAGCTTCTACCCTCCCTGAGTTTCTGTTTTCCTATCTGCAAGTGGACTGTTTCTAATGTCTGTTCAACCTAACAAGTCTATATATTTTCTGTAGTATCTCCTTTAAGAGCCTCAAAATACTTAATGACAAATCAGTTCAATACTCCAGGTGTTTCTTTTTAATTACCATAAAATTACCATTCCCTCCTCCAGGGAGATTTTCCCAACCCAGGGATCGAACTCGGATCTCCTGTATTATAGGCAGATTCTTAACCATCTCAACCATCAAGGAAGCCCATAAAGTTGCTTCAGTTCAGTTCAGTCGCTCAGTCGTGTCTGACTCTTTGCAACCCTGTGGACTACATCGTGCCAGGCTTCTGAGGCCCAAGAATACTGGAGTGAGTAGCCTATCTCTTCTCCAGGGGATCTTCCCAACCCAGGAATTAAACCAGGGTCTCCTGAATTGCAGACAGATTCTTTACCAACTGAGCTATCAGGGAAATCCATAAAATTGCTTATAAAATGCAAATTCAATTGCACTGAAAATTATTTATTTCCATGTCTATCATTAAAAATGTCTTTAAAAATTTGTTAAAATCACATGAGGACACATCTAATTTGACCTAAAATCTGAGACAAAAATTTTTAAACAAAAATGTCTCTTATTCTTCCTAAAGGATATAAAGTCCAAGTTATAGTCTGAAACTTCACCAAGAAACTGAATTCTAACTCTGGCCATTGTTGATACAGAGCTGGTCAGCTCAATGACCTCCCCTTCTGTCTTCTCCAGTAATAAAAGTGATAAGAATAGAAACCTTTAACTGTGGGTGGGATTTGCTGATAAATAATCACTAAAAGCACATTTTTCAAGTGCTCTGATACAGATCTTGGAGGAGCTCAGCTTCAATAGCTCTGAGATACATGGGTATAATTTACAAAAGCTTCTCACCTTATACATCAACTTTTTTCTGCCATCATTCCCAGCTGAAGTTACAGGGAAGCCTGGAAGCCTGGAAGTGGCAACCCCAATAATTATACTGGTTTTTGTGACTCAATTTTGAAACTTGCATCATGGATATTATTGTACAGTATCTATTTCTTTACCTTTTATAAATAAGGTATTTTGCTAATCCAGAATAAGTTATTTAGAAACGTGCATAGTATATGAATAAATACAGATTACACATATATGTACGAATCTGATTTCCCCCAGTCCCTTCTTAAGAACCAGGGTATCCATAAGCTTAGGCACAAAAATTTGTTCACTTAGATTTGTATTTCTCAGATCCTCATACCCATTTTATGAGTATAAACTACATATTCACAGGATATTGACCTGGAAGAGATATTTCTGACCATTTGATCCAAATGCCTCATGTTTCAGTAGAGAAAATCAGGGTCCAAAGAGGGAAGTGAATTATATAAGGAGGGGGTAAGGTCTTTTTATCTGCCATCTCAAAAACAAAAACTTCTGCTTTTCACATAGTAAAACTTAACCAAGTGGTAAGAAAATAAATATTACCAAATAAACTTGATTGAAAGGAAGGCTGACTGCCAAATGGAGTTTAACAGTTACATATCTATTTTTTTCACAGATTCATCCACACTGGAAAATTTTTATGAAGTTAAAAATTAATCTAAGAAATAAGGAAAAATCATGATTATTCCCCAAATATCTTTCTCCTACAATGAAAGATCCAATTTAACTAGGTAAATGATCAGTATTTCAGCTCTATTTCAACTCCTCTATAGATCACTGTAATACAATGTCTTATAAAAGTAGAGCTTTGATAGGCATCCCCACATACCTATCCTTCAACCAAAATCCCAAACAATCTTATCCATGAATTTAGAAAAGCTCCAGTCTATGTTCCTTCTTCAGCAGTTACTGTATACCCTTTTCTCTCAGTCTCTCTCCTCTATACACTGCTGCCACCATGACTGATCAAGTCCTGGGAAAAACACACATGACCTCTCTAAGCTATCCTTTCCCTTAACAAGGTGTATGAGATCACAATTAAGGACACATCGTACTGACTTGGGTCCCATTAATAGTATAAGAAATTGTGTTAGCTAAATCTAGTGAGAAAGAAGAAAACAATTAATGTCAAGTGAACAATTCCAAATATCTGAGCCACAGAAAATTTTGTATCTAGAATATATAAGAACACAGTTTTTGAGCAAACAGCTCTAACGTACCTCCTCCATCTTTGCTTCCCTTTCTGTGCCAGGACCAGAGAAAGCTAATTCTCTCCCAAAGATCAGCTCACCGTGAGTTCCAGTATCCTAGAAGTCAGCATTCAGCTGCCCTTCCACGCTCTAGCACAGAATTGCTGGGTGACTTGCTAGAAAGAACCCCTCTAGATGCCTCCCCTGGGTATTAATATTCCAGGGTGGCCCCCTGCCACCAGCTAGCTACACGTCTGTATCTGTTTCATGTTTTGCTCTCTCCCATCCTCTGAGCCCTAGTGCAATTAATTGTTGAGGCTTGACTAGGGCCATCTGTTCTGTTTTTTCGTTTTTTTTTTTTAATCATCCCACAGTGCAAGGAAATATGTAACATTGTGGTTGTTTCAAAAAGCAGTCTCAGGGCTCCCGGACCTTGTGAATAAACTCAGCTGTTCTATTTTGGGTTACTCTGTTTTCTTCTCGGAAGAGCCTAATTCCGGTTTTGTCTTGGGCATCCTGCCATGGACACCTTGCTCCTCCCCTCACACCCTCTCCCCAAAATCACCTACTCTAATTTCACCCAAAGTGTTCTGCGCAGAGAAGGAAATGTGTGGCGTGATGAAGACAGTACGGGTGTGCTGGGGTGCTCACTGGTCTGCAGACTTGAGCATGACACTAGTACCCTTCGGGAATTTGGAGACACGAGCACCCTCTGCGGGACAGTGATCACGACCGCACCCCCATTAGACTGCAGGCACCGAAAACCTGTTTCCTGTCGACAGAGACAAGCCCAGGCATCGTCTAGGACTCTGCTCATCTTAGCCTGATCTAATGTGAGGTACCCAGTCTCTGACCTGGCCATCAGAAATGAAAGTTCCCATTGTCTGACCTTTACCAGTGAGAGACTTTTCTAACCAAGAGCAACCACCAGGCAAACAAGAATTATCAGACTAGCCCCAACAAGGGAACATGGGGCCACTACACGTTTATTTTCTTTTTCAGTGGAATCTTCTGCAGTCAAGAACATCCGTAAAGAGCTAATAATGTTTTTATATATGAACAACTATGAAAAAAAAAATAATGTCAACAGGACCAGAATAAAGAGATGGAAAAATGGAAAGAATTTCTTCATTAAGCAGTGTGGGGCGGGGGGAATACTAAAATGATGATCTTCCACTACATAATGTATTGGACAAAGTGATGTCAGTAAGTTGTGATTGGTAGAGAAAGACTGTGAAAAACAATGTCTGATTAAGTTGTTGGGATAAACATTCAGCCACGTGCACATACAGACATGAACACATATATCTATGCCCTTAAATATATATAGGTTAGCTATTTAATATAACTTAATATTGATACCTTCAACATTCTTCAGAAAGCATATCTCCTTGAGTCTATGGGGTTTATGAATACAATGAGAAAGTATAATAATGTACAAAGGAAATAAAAAATTTATTATTTCCTTTTTACATTAATTCCCTGATCAGTTGCTTACTAGCAGAACAGATAAACCAAGTAGGTATGTCAGGGTGAGAAATAAGAAAATAAAGCTTCAAAGTGACAGTTCACAAAAGAATACCAGGATTTTTGTGTTTTAAAGAAAAAGATTAATCCAGAAGCAGTGCCCCTGCCCTATCTCCACTGTGCCTCACCACTGCCACTGCTGAAAAAAAGGAAGGAAAAGAGAGACACGAGGGTGCTTGACCACATTTTACAATCGCCAAACAGAAAAGGGAAAACAATTTGGTGTCAGACTATTTCCAAGTGACCATTTGCAGCTGCCATCAGCCTGATCTGGAGAAAAGGACATGTTGGTTGGTGCATCTTACCTGAGCATAGAAGTGCAGACAGATGTAGGTGAGACACAGGAGAAGCCCCAGCCCCTGAATTATGGAGGCCACCAGCAATAGCTTGTTCCTCAAGAATCTCCGTCCTGGTGCATTTCCCACATTCTCGTCCAGGGGTTGGACCCCTTCCATCTTCACAATCCGGATGCAGGGACGATGAAAACTGTGACAGAGGGAAACCTGAGGGAGAACTGACTTCTTCCCCACAAAGAAGGAGATGAAGCCAACACAAGGTGTATCAATTAGAAGATACACAGAGGTCCCAGGACCAGAGATAAGAGGCGATTGAAAGAGCAGAGAGGACTCTCTCAGTTTTAATGCTTCAGCTTTTGCAGGCAGGCGGGGGAACTTCTTTGTGACTAATCTGAATTTCCCCTTTACTTTCTTTCTTTTTTTTTCTCTGGGCTAACAGGGAGTTGTTTTTGTGGCATTCCAGTTCTGATTTGAGTGACTGTGAAAAGACAGTCATAAAAGTGTGCTATTTTCTTAATTTCTCATTGCACCAGTAACCAAATTGTGGGTCACTTGATAAAGATAAAAATCATCATCCGTTGATGTAGAAGCTCACCTATCTCTTCCCCAAGGTGTCTTAAATCATAGAAGAAATTTAAGGAAAGCGCTAGCTTAAGTTCTTGCCTGCACTTCATTGGGTAACTAAGCATTGAACCCATTCTACATATTGAGGGAAAAAAGGCACACATAGACCATCCTTGAGGTGAAAAAAAGAAAAAGAAAAGATGAAGATAGGATGGCAAATTATGCAGAATAAAAGGAGTGAGATCCTCTAGTTTTAGTCCAATGCATTATAATAAATAAACTAGTATATGCTGAGCATATACAATGTGTCAGGCACTGTGCTAAACAGCCTTACTATCTTTTTCTCATTTAATCTTTGAGGCAAATTCAGTAAATACTTACATGACTAATTCTAAGCATAGCAGGAAAGAAGCAGAAGAGTATCCTGACTTTTTCCCCTCTTCTCTACTTTACATTTTCTCCATACATAATTTTTGCATGAATGAACACATGCATGGCTTCAAATAAGCTATGTACCTTTCTTTGAGGTCAGGGGTAGACTTAGAATTTGGAAAGTAAGAGTATCCTACCAGTAGGCACTACTTACCCTTTACCACTGAAATGAATGATAAAATGAAATAAATGATAAAATTATTGATAATGGCAAGTTCAAATTAATAAATATTTATTGAGTACATGGTAAGTGCTGTGCTATACTGGACAGCACAGGTACACTGGAAGGGGCTGTTTAAGATACAGCTCTTCCATGGGCCAGTATGTCTCTCTGGGCTCCCCAACAGCTGCTCAACAGATATTTAAAGAAGGGAAGGAGAGAGGAATTTTCTAATATCAACAAAATTAATGAGCTGTCATATGCAACCTATTTTTATAGAAAATTGGTATGAGGCACACTCAAAAGGAAAACAGCTTATAGGAAATGGAAAGTACATTTATTAATACAATAACACAGTTTAAATCAATTAGTATATGAATTGATACCCTCATTATAATCATCATACCTTGCATTTGCAGAACACACTGGTCTTTAAGTTTTTGTATGAAATGTCTGGTGACTGAGACACTATACTACATACTCCAAGCCAAAACTGGAAGTCAAGTTCCATCTAAACTTATTCTAAATAGTTTTTAAATTCTAAATAGTTATTCCTATGAGAGTCTAATTCTTGAGTAATAGTTAATAGTTCTAAATAAATAAACATTAAAATCAGTAACTGTTTCAAAAACTGACTAGAAGAGCCACAGCAACAACAACAAAAAAGCCTAATATAACTACTGGAAACAATAGAGACCAGCTGAAAAATAAATAGTGAAAATTGTTAAGGCTGAAAATAAAAAAATAAACATTTACAGAGTTCATTCTTGTGGCCTAAGCAGCATGTTTTCTCATTGTTAACAGCTTGGCTTCTCTGAAGCAAAATAGACAATTACTAATATACAAATTACTGTCTGTACAGACCAATGAGAACTCTGCAACAGAATGAATTTCCAGTTTGGTGATGTCCCAGGAAAGTTAAACCAACTATACCAACACTTGGGCCTGCACATCCGAGACACCTCTCATCTCCTACCTGCCATGTTTTACCCACTTACAATTTTTTATTGACACTTAAATGATGCTTTACAATTAACTGTTTCTTTTTAAATTGAATACATTCTCACAACTGTTTTAACATTCTTTGTGCAAAGAGGAGAAACACACATGGAAAGATAAATAGCAACTGGGTTGGAGGTTCTGGGCAAGAACTTTTGACAAGATTATGAAAGCATTTCAAAAGTTCATCATTGGGCTAGTCTACATTTGGAACAAATGAAGCCATCAATCAGAGATCAGTATTGGGCAGATGGACAGAGTCCTCTGTCTCCAAAGTTGACATGTTTTTTAGAGGTCAAGTACGTCACCTGAATCTGTGTGCAATTTTTTTAAAGCATTTCACAAAGATCCAATACACAGACCCGCCAGAGCAAATCAGCCTTGGAATGGCAGCCTCAGATTTCATTCAAAGCAATTATCTTCTCACAGATCTTCAATCTCCAAATAAACAGCCACTTCAAGACTACAGAAAAGTATAGCGGAAGGCAATAACAAAAAGCTTTAACTGACAGGACACCTCCTGTTTAGGAAGCTGCAAAACTTTTTTGTGTAGGAGGGTGGTGTCTCCCTTTTTTGTTGTTTTGTTTGGGGGGAAACTTTTGATTTGGGGGGGTTTGGGTGGTAAAATCCACACTTTTCACTTGTTTCTTAAGTCATCAGTCTTATTCGACAAGCATGAGCTGGGTGCCTACATTGTGGTGCTGGGGGAAAAGAAATTAGTAAACAGGAGATCACAGACAGGAAGGGAGAACCAGCACAACCAGGAAAGGACTGCATCCGAGGTGGTTATACAGGGCTGGGTTAAGAACTTTGAACTGTACCCTGAAGGCACTGGGGAAATACGGAAAGCAGGGCACAACAGTATTACATTTTAGGAAAAAATCACTGAATGAAACAGAAATGGCAGGGTGGGATCCAGGAGATCAACTGGGGGACTTTTCCAGGGTGTTCTGTGCCAGTTGAGGGGATGGGTAAGCCTAAAAGCCCACCTCTGCACTCAGCTCTCCATGCCTGCCGACCTAGAACAGGAGGTTTCATTCTATGAAGGGGAGCATTTACCTTCCCACAAAGGTGTGCTCTGCTTCCCAAGTCCTGAACAAAGGGTTGCCTCCACCCATATAACTGTACCTTTCTCTAATTAATAAACTCAGACAGGGCTTCTTGTTCTAATTCACCAAAAGAATGGGAGCTGGTGTAAGAGCAGGGGTGGTCCTCAAGCCTGCAATTATTCAAGAGAAATATTACAAGGTCCTGGTCTATAGCCAAGAGGTTAAGAGAGAAGATATTCACAGCGGATATACAAATTCATCAAACATTTTGAGCGCTTACCTCATGCTACCCTGCAAGTGTACAAAGGAAGTCATAACTAAGCTCTGACCTGGGACAGGTGACAGAGTAAGATGGGAGGTGATAGAAACAAATGCATTTCAAATATCAAAAACACCTGATTTGCCACCTGCCGTCACTATCTTCCCTTGATTTTAATGTTCCCATTCTAGTTAACTTACGTTAACTTAGCACTCCAAAATCTCAAAACCCCAGAATCAGCTTTCATTCCTCCTTGTCTCAAACAGCCAGACTTCTAGGCCTATCATTGCAATACAGCTCATATTTACTGCACTAAGCTTTGCTTCTGTTCCAAGTCCTTACTACACCTCATTTGAATCTCTGAATTAAACCCACAGTTGTTCTCCCTACTTCCATTCTTCTTGATGTCTAATCCACACTGCTTTGGCAGGATCAGTATCCATCTCACAGAGGATTAAGTTGAAATTCTTTAGCACAACACTCAAGTCACTCTGTAATGAAACCCAAGTCTCTTCTCCAAATTTATCTCCATTTTCTGTTTATTTCTGATGATCATTTTCCCTCAAATATCCTTATCCTCCATCTCTGATGATCAAAATCCTACACCCTACACACTTTCTATGAAGGTCTAGCTGCCTTGTAGGTAGTGAGCGTACAGTACTCCAAAGGGTCTAAACAAAAATCCTGAGGGAATGAGTACTATTCACAGAATTCTGGCACTGAGTAGGGGATTTGTAGGATCAGAAGTTCGCAAAGCCCAGTTGATCATCAGAATCACTGGGAGAGCTTTTGAAAAAGTCAGATTCCTAATCCCTATCTCTAGAAACTCTGATAAATTTGGAATAGTGCCTGTGAATCTGTATTTCTAAAAGCTTCCATAAGAGCCAAAATTGTGAATCTCCCCAAATGACTACTTAAAGTCTGTTTCATTATTACAGTTCTATGATATAAATCCTTGCTCAGGGCCTCCCAGAAGGATGCAGTTGTTCCTGCTCCTGTGTAGACAGCATTTTTCATGCTCTGTCTTGTCTTACACAACTATTCAAATCTGTTTCCATCCCCCTGCCCCGCCCCCATGATATTGAAAGACCTTGAGGTCAAGAGTCTTCTATTGCACACACTCACATGGCCAAAGTAGTATAGTCTTTCTATAAAGATTTGCCAAATTAAATTAAATTTGCTTGCAACAGATGTGAAGTATGCTATTTTCAGGACCAAAGAAGAATGAGAGTCTAAACAAAACTGAAAATGGCACGATTAAATACAGAAGTCTCCTGATAACTGGACTTTGATCTTAGATGTGAAAGATTAGCAAACCTGAAATGTGTACTTTTCATTGAAACCGGATGCACACCATTGGTGCAAATGTACATGTGAACTCGTATAATGATATTCCGTTGGGTTTCAGACTCATTAGCCCCTTAGTTGTCAACCTCTCTTCTTCCGATACTGATTTTCCCTTTCATTCTTCATGTTTGTTCCTTTTCTTTATCTTGAATCGACCACTGGAAGTTATTTTAGAGCATGATGATAGATTCTAAAACTTAGTGGCACGGAACTGCCGCAGAATCTTTTTCTCTCTATGGAAATATGCCTGTGAAGTACTACACCATTATGGAAAGCAAATATATAGACAGTATTTTTGGCTCACAAAATTACATTTTAAACTGTGCATTTAAAATATGTATGCAATGCCAAGAATATACAAAAATTTGTAAGCAAATATTTCAACTAAGAACAGTATAGGCAATTTTTTAAAAAATCAACTTTACTGAAATAGTTACAGATAAAACTGTATCTACTTCAAGTTAACAATTAGATGAATTTTGACAGTTGTAGACTCTCAAGAAACCACCATTACATACAGAACATTTACTCATTCCCAAAAGAAAATTTTCTTTAAATAACAATCATTCCACAAACAAATTTAAACTGAATAATAAGA